AAAACACGAAATTTCTTTGTGAACGATCCAACACTACTTGTTGATTTACAGTTATTGTAATAGTTAAGTAGAGTGTCGTGGGCTTAGGAACTGTATATAAGTGTATAATGGAGAGTAGTCTCTATTGAAAACCGATGGTAGACGTGTAGAAAGTGGTAACAGCTTATGCTTATCACTTACATAGTTCTATTTAATTTTTACGATTGTATGTACTAACAACTAGCTTAGGATTTATTTATTATATACCATGCGTTTAATTTCGATCCTTTAACGTATCTATTTGGTGATTTTTTACACAATTCGATATGCAATCAAGTCCGATTTTAGAATATTTCAATTTATTTAATAAGATTATTGCCTAAGTACTAATGATTATTTACCGTTATTCATTTATTACTTTGTGGTTAAGATATTTGCTTAACATATTATTTTTATTTTCTTATATTCTAAATATTTTTGTATTTTTTTTTAGTGAACCAAGTTTAATGGAAGGTATGTGAATGAAGTATTGTTTGAAATGTAAGTGGGATTCCAAAAAATATAGCTTTAGTACTTTATCATACACTATAACCTGAACAGAGTATACGAAGTGTGTAACACTTTGAAGAAAATATCGCAGACCCATTAAATATATGTATGTATACACAAATGACAAGCGCGAGAAAGCGTAATTTAGCCAGCTGCGTCTGTCTCTCCATCTGTCTGCCTATCTGTTAATATGCGAACTCGTCCCACAGTTTTTGAGATATCGATCTGAAATTTTGCACACACCCTTTTCTTTTCAAAAAACTGCTCATTTGTCGGAACGGCGGATATCGGTTCAGTGCATAGCATATAGCTATCAGACAGACTGATCAATCAAAATCAATCAAGATCAAGATCAACTTTTTTACGACACGAGGCAATAATTTTCCATCATGACAACGCTCGTTTTGTAAAAAAAAAAGCCGTATGAATATAGTAGTAAGCGTAAATTTTTAATCGGATTGAAATTACTCAGGAATTCGAAGTCGGCTAATTTTTACAATTTACACGCTATTTTCGCAATTTGAAGACAGTTTTTTTTAAGTAATACAGTCTCTACAGAATAATACCCATCATCACCCTCTAGTTTCATCTTCGTTCTCACCTTTTTTTTTTTCTTTCTAGTTCTACCTTTGTTCTCAGACATTTTCTTCTTATTCCCAAAACGGCAAATACTACAAAAATACTCAGACATAAAACATTTCTAAAATGCTTGGGGGGCTTATTAAAATTTGATCTAAACTCAGAAGCAATAATTTAGTAAATTATCTTTGTATCATTTTTTTCTATATATGTATGAGGGAATTGACTGTATAAAATATTGATATGAATTTAATAATGAGTGATCAAGTATTATACATATTTTAACGTATTACTCTTCTTAAAAAGCAATTTACTTTTAAAACGTTATTAATAGTCAGCTTAAAGTTTATTTTTTTTTTTATATTTTTTTTATAAAGAACCATTTTTATTTTAACGCAACGAACTAACTTTTTTATATGAATTAACATTTCCATGTTTCTAAAAATTTATTTCATAACAAGCTTTTTCAACTACTGAACTTGCGTAACAAAGTTTAACGGAGAACTCCAAGCTAGTTAGGTATTTTCTATAAAACCTTCTTACGAATTTTTTCAAATGTTAGATTTTCTTTAATATTTTACATTTTCATTGTATTTCATTTAAGTTTTAATTGTAATTTAATTTTACAAGGCATATTTAGCAACATAACGAAGACGCAACTTTATATTTAATTTTAATTATATTTATATCTTTAATTTATGTAACTTTGTCAGTATATACTTCGAACAAATATAAAATAAACCTTTAATTATTATTATTTTTTTTTTAATTTAACTTAACAAGTACATAGCATAGCACTAGCAACAATTTCAACTAAATTTCATGCAAATCTTAGCAATTATGTTTTATTTTTTTATTATTGCATATTTCTATATATAATATGTGTTAATATATGTATGTATTGTATATGTATCAATAAATAAAAATATATACTAATTTTCTACAGAACGCAAATTTTATTCATTAAATACTCACTAATCGCATTAAATAATTAACTCAAAAATGTTCCACTCAACTAAAATTTCTCCCATTCATTTACTTTGCGTTTGCCTTTGTATTTGTAAAATTTTCTTTGAGACTTAATTAACTAATTTGTTTTAATTAATATTTAATGAATGTTTTTGCTAAAAGTGCGAAATTAATAGCATAAATCATTAATGAGCAGTCATAATTATAATTTTTAAATAATGTTAGATAATCATACTATTTTTGAATTCAAAGTAGGTGTTTAAGCAAAATAAAAATAATAAAAATTTTTTATAAAAGTATAATTTGTAAGTAAAGAAATTATTATGAATTTATCATATACATATGTTTATAAAACTAGTCTCTCAATTGACGTTTGACGTTAAACCATTAAGCTATTAAGCTTTTCAGGCAGTCATATAATCGCTTGCTGTTAGATAATTAGTCAAACTTCAGCGCCTATACGGGTTTTTGAAATTAGTTCTTTAGCTATTTCTAAATATAATTACAGTGAAAACAAGCCTAGATTGCTTTAAAAAAAAACGTAAATTCTTTATATGAATGGAGTTGATTAAAAAAATCCAATCAGTTGAAATTTGCAAAGCAACTTTTCTAGAATTGATAGTTTTATCTTTTTATATATATTTATATAGCATTGTACTTGTAGAAGTTCACTAAAGTTATCGCTTAAAAGACCACTGAAAATAATGTTTAAATTGTCATTGTGGGTCTAAGTAAGATCTGTTCTAAAGCAATTAGCAAAAGTCAAATAAGTTGTTAAGCTTTTCAGGCAGTCATATAATTGAGTCAATTAGCGCTTGATGGTATATATTTAGCTAATCGTTAATAATATGGTGCTACTCGAAGCGTCTATAAGGCTTCTTGATATTAGTTCTTATGCCATTTATAAATATAATCACAGTAGAAACAAGCATAGATATTTTTGAAAAAAAGAATGCAAGTTTTTTTTTATGAATGGAGTTGAATAAAAACATTTCAAAGCAATAAACTTGTCTCTGCATGTTACTCTCATCTTCACAAACTTCAGATAGAATTTATATAGAATCGTTCTTGTAGAATTTTCAAAAATTATAAAGTTATCGCTTTTGAGTTTTAGAATGTATTTAATCGCTGCACGCTTAAGTTAAATCTGCTCTAAGGAAGCGCGCAAAAGTACAATATAATTATATATGGTATAGTTATAATAATGGTATTGGCATAATAATGACACGTGCTGATGTTTTGACAGAAGTTTATTTGAAAACAATATGAAGATCTATTCTGTTGCTAATATATTATAAAATGCAAACAATATTCGAAAAACTATATATGTTAATATTACAACTCCTACCTCTCAGACGATTTTTTGATATTCAATGCTTTTAATTGTTCTTATTAAAGTAGAACAGCGCTCAAATCTTTGAAAATGGTAAAAAAATAACAGTAGAATGAAACCCATGGAAAAATAAAATAACAAAAATTATATATGAAATAATTTAGGAGCGTTCGAGGTTCGGGATTGAATATTAGGGTTGAAAACAGTGCGGCGAAACTACGACTCCATTGAAAAAAGTTAAATGGCAAAGTTGTAGCTAATAAAAAGACCAACAGTCTTGTGCAAACACCTGTTTCAAATTGCAACCTTACAATTTAAATCTAAAATTAAGTTATTGGTTTTTTATTTTTAACTTTTACAATTTTTTTCTTTCCCACATTTTGGGATAAACTAATTTTTTTATGTCCCAAACATGCTATAATTTTTTTGATTTAAAATATTTAGAAATATGCATTACTATGGAAAGTTTGCTGCAGAAAAGCGATCCCATAAACAAATTCATACTTGCTTTTTTTCTTTCATTTACCTGTTATTTTGTAGTAGCAGATCTTACCTGTTCCAATAGGTTTCATCCTGCTATGATTTGTTTTTTTTTGCTATATATGTATATTGTTGTTTTTTGCTATAGAATTTTTTATTTGAAGTCATGTTATATAATTTTGAATATCGAATTTGCGCCTGTTTAATAAAATTCCTCTGATATTTTAAAAAGCTTACAAAACTGATTTAGAAAACCATAAGTACTAAATTTAAACGATGCAAATTAAATCTTATAATTATTTTTAATTTATTTGATTAAAAAAAATTCATTTTGAAATAAAAAAAAAAAATTTATGAAAATAAATATTATGAATATTATGTTCCTTAAGATATATTTTCAATTAAACAGCCGAAATCTTTATAATTTTATTATTTAAAAACGCGAAACACGAATAATAGTTGCTGAAATCATTTATTATTATTACTAAGCGCCAAAAAAAAAGTAAAAGAAAGTTTTCAAAATAGAATAAAACAAAATAAAATAAGTCGAACACAAAACTTAGTATGTATGTATGTATATAGTAGATTTTTATTGTATATCGTTTTTAATAGTGTGTATTATATAATATGAATGTTTATTCAACACATAAGTAAATATGTAGTATGTGTATGTGTGTAGGTAAAATATGTATTACATATAAACCGTATAAGTATTTTTAATTAAATTTATAATTAACGCTATTGTAGTTTAGTAATATTCATTCATTTCTCGTCATAGTTCGCTTCGCCTCGTATAACATTCAGTAGTTCATTAATAGTAAAAGTGATGTAACGCTTGCATTTTTTTCTATTCTATATATTCTATATATTATTTGCTGCAAAGTATAAATAAATTTCGCAGAATATAGAAAATAGTACTGTTCATATTGGTAATTGCATTTTTTAAGCATTAATTAATTAATGATTAATTAGTAATTAGTAATTATCAATAATCAATATTAATTACTAATTAATTATTGTGCGATAACTTTTAACGGTTATATAAACTATATTTTGCATTTATGCTTACTGCTTTTGTTGCTAAATTTTTCGAAATTTTTTTTATAGCTTCTTTGAAATTATTCAAATTTGATTTGCAAGCTTTTACGTGCAGCGCAATACAAATTTTGAATAATTATTTGCTATTGATTTGCACATTTGATATGATGTGTGGTGTTACTTATAGATACATTTGTTTTTTGTAAATATTTGTTATATGTTTATCATTTTTCGATTTTCTAGAAATGCTGTAGTAGCCAATTGCAACAAACTTTTGCAAATTTAGAAAACGAATTTTGTTTTGAATTTGAAATATTTTTTTAATTATGAAAATCTAGAAAACAAAATTTTTTTATAGAGTTTTGCAAACTAATTTTTGTTGCCTTTTGTCAATTTTCGTAAAACTTAGTAAATTTTGGTATTTACTATATATTTTCTGAACTTATTTTGTTACATATGCATTTGTAAATACTTTTCGCATACATAACTTGTTCCAAGCTTAGCTTTTGGCTTGACTAATAATGCTTCAATAAACATTGTGTTTGCCTTTTTTGTCAGTTTTCTTTTCTATTTATTTGCAAATTGTCACAATTGATTTAAGCAGTTTTTTATACAATTTTATTTTCACAGTTACATCACTTTTGCGTTGCCACCTTGCTTAATGCTAATGATTAAAATTCAAATTACTTTCGCATTCATCATATTCGAGTATTCAAAATCGTTCCCAAAAGCCGCAATTATCAATTTGTTTCTTTTATCCATTATCAAGTCCAATTTTCCATTATTTGTTTTTTTTTTTTTTTTGCAAACTTGGTTCAACTTTGTTTAGTTTAATTTAATTTCGTTTATTTTATATAAAATTAGTTTAATTTTTTTTTATTACTAAATTTTTACATTTGTTTGTTTGTATGTATGCATCTATGCATGCTTAATTTAATTGTCTTTCTTGCTTAGGTTCATGGTTTTATTTTGCTTTTTGCTCAAAACTTAAACACAATTTCTACACTTTCGCTACAATTCATTTTATAGTTTTTCTAAATGCTATAATGCTTTTCAGTTGCAAACGATTAATGTGGAACTTAGGTGAACAAATTCATTATTAACTACACATTTCTTACAATTATATTGCCTACATATGTATATATTTATATATACTCGTATATACATATATATATATATATATATATATATATGCATGTTTTCATCTATGTACGAAATATATGAATGTATATATGTAAATGTGTCTTGCCTAACTTTGAGTTGCATATTTAATTTTCACTTTTGTTTTAAGATTTTTCAACTTTTTTTTTTACTTTTCATCAGTATTGAAAAGTTTTTTACTAAACGCTCAGCTACAAATTGTACTGGTACAAATAGTTTTATTTAGGTGTGCTGGGGGTGTGCCTTTCTAATACATTTATGGTATTGCACGTATACCATCTAGTGTCGATCTTAATATTAGACTGCCTTCGACCCAGAAGTTCGGGCGATCAATCATATTTTGCCACAGTGAGAGCTCTTTGCCAGCTGCATCCATCCATTCGACGGAGCGTCCGTAGCTTTTGCCTGCAAAATATTTATTTTGAATTAATTTATGCAAATTAATTCAAGTGTCAGCTTTTATATAAATTTCTTTATAAATTTAATGAATCTATTCTACGGTCTTCTGCTCAAAAATCCAGCTATAGACAGGTTCCATTAAAAAAAATATTTTTCCCTTAAATCTCTTTAATTTGATGGTAATATTTTAATATGTCATTAATTCTAGTAAATTAATGGATTTAAAAAATTCCCAGATAAGTGGCATCACTTTTCAAAAATTTTGTTCAATTGAAAAAACTTTTTTCGGTTAGGTTGGTTACATATATTGTAATAGTCATTAAAAAAATCAACCAATTTTATTGAATTTAACTTTTTAATCAGGTGGCAACTATTCTCAAAAATATTCTCAACTATACTTTACTTGACTTTACTTAAATCACTTTCGTTTTATTCAAATATTGTATTTATTCATTTCTTTTATCAACCTCCTAAAAAAATGATTTCAACCGTTAACCTCTTAATTTTGCAGAGATTTTTTTTATTTTTTCAATATTTTTGACTCAACATTTAAATAAGGTAGATGGCTAGTTTTAGGCTTTTTGAATTTTAATTAACTTATAGTAAACTTTTAAATTGAAAAGAAACGTTACAAATCCAACAAGTAAGAAAGGGCTTAGTTCGGGCGTAACCGGACATTTTACCTATACACTCGCACGGTAAAGTGATATTTGGTTTTTATACTCTCGCAACCTGTTGCTACAGAGTATAATAGTTTTGTTCACCTAACGGTTGTTTGTATCACCTAAAATTAATCGAGTTAGATATAGGGTTATATATATATAAATGATCAGGATGAAGAGACGAGTTGAAATCCGGGTGACTGTCTGTCCGTCCGTCCGTCCGTGCAAGCTCTAACTTGAGTAAAAATTGAGATATCTTTATGAAACTTGGTAGACATGTTTCTTGGTACCGTGAGACGGTTGGTATTGCAGATGGGCGTAATCGGACCACTGCCACGCCCACAAAACGCCATTAATCAAAAACAAATAACTTGCCATAACTAAGCTCCGCAATAAGATACAAGACTGTTATTTGGTACACAGGATCACATTAGAGAGGGGCATCTGCAGTTAAAACTTTTTTTTAAAAAGTGGGCGTGGTCCCGCCTCTAATAGGTTTAATGTGCATATCTCCTAAACCGCTAATGCTTTAATAACAAAATTCACCAGAAGCAAATGTTTTTAGCACTTCTATTGACGGTGTGAAAATAGTTGAAATCGGGTGGCAACTCCGCCCACTCCCCATATAACGGTACTGTTAAAAACTACTAAAAGCGCGATAAATCAAGCACTAAACACGCCAGAGACGTTAAATTTTATCTCTGAGATGGTATAAGATGACTTTATAGGAACCGCGTTCAAAATTAGACAGTGGGCGTGGCACAGCCCACTTTTAGGTGAAAACCCATATCTTGAGATCTGCTCAACCGATTTCAACCAAATTCGGTGCATAACGTTCTTTTCATGTTTCTATGTCATAGTGCGAAAATGGGCGAAATCGGACTACAACCACGCTTACTTCCCATGTAACACCATTTTCAATTCCATCTGATTCTTTCACATTCCACTATGCAAATCAGGTAAAAATGATTATATCGGGATAAACCTTTGCGTGAATAATGCAATTAAAGTATGCCACCTTGCGGCCAAAAATTGTCTAAATCGAACCAAAACTGTTCAAACCCCTAAGTACTAAATATGTGGACCCCAGTGCCTATAGTTGACCTTCTACCGAAAATATCAGTCAATCCACAAAGAAATCTCAAACGAGTATACCATTTGACCTTGCGAGAGTATAAAATGTTCGGTTACATCCGAACTTAGCCCTTCCTTACTTGTTCGTATATATTTTATATAAAAGTAGATAGTATTGCATTCATTATTTACAATCACAGGTAAGAAGATACACTATTATAACAAAGATATTCTTTATAAATCTGATTGAGATTTCTTACATATTGACCGATGGTATAAAGTCAATCGGATGTTCTAAAATATAAGTATTATATATCGGATTTTACCCATTTTTATTACAAGGACATGCTGTCATTACAAAAATATTCTACCCAAATTTCAATATTAAAACTCACAGATTGGCCGATGTGTTAGGTAAAAAATCAGCCTAATGCACTGAGGTTCAGATATTTGATATCTGAATCCTCGAAAAGTTATAACCCGATTTCGACAAATTTTGGGCTCAAGTTTAAACATCTTGAGGGCACTACTTGACCTAATGACCGTTAGGTGAACAAAACTATTACACTCGGTAGCAACATGTTGTAAGAGTGTAAAAATTATGCAAATGGAGAGAGAGAGACAGATAGAATTTAGATTGTATTCATAATACTAGTTCAAATCTAAAATTTATTTTGTTCTAAAATCACTTTCTTACCTGTGCCTAGTGAAAAGCGCACACCGCCAAGGAACTCATTACTCGCCAAACGATCGTGATCCCACACCGTTAATTCGAGTGCACGTTCGGACAAATCGTCCAGCGATACGTCCTCATAGATGAAAGTATAATTCCAAGTGGGATGCAATGAGCGTTTCACAACTGGCGTCTTTTGTTTGGAGCTACGCGTACGATCGGGCAGCAAGTAACTGTAAGGAAAAAAGTTTTGATATAATGTCTATGTATATAAAAATTCATAATTAATTGCTAAAGTTTCTTTCAAGGAATACTAAACAGGGAGTTTTTCAACTCAGAGCAAACTCTATAGCGCACAATATACAGCGTCCCTGTTCGAATAAGGTTTTAAATGCAAGAAGGGGGTGAATGACGCCACGAATTTAGGTTAACAATTTAAACATCTGATTTATAGGGAAATCCCTTATGTACCCAACATACGAAAACAAAGGTAATGCAAACAATTTTTTAATTACGATCGGTCACCGTATTTGAAGCAAATACCTAAACTCAACCCCGCAGCGTACCTACCTTTTACAGAAGGCATCACAAGTGCCGTTCACTTTAATCGGACTCAAATGTTTCGCCTCCTTCACGAGCACATGCAGTTGACCACCTTTTGCCGAGCGATCGGAGCGCGACGCCACCGATTTGATGCTACCAAATTTACGCAGATTTGAACTACCGCTGCTGGTGGAGGCACTACGCATAAAGCCGGGACGTACCATCTCTGGTGGTATATACTTCAGGCCGACAACAATATCACCGCGATACGTGGCTATCTCATCAAAGGGTTCACTCTGCAACAAAAAAAAAAAAATTAAAAAAATGAAGAAAATATTCTCGGGAGTTAATGTTTGCCACTTACCCGCTCCTGCAGTAGATACCATTGTGATTGTGGATTATCGAATACTTTGCCCTGCAAACTCACGCTAACTTCACCGAGAAAATCATTGCGTCCAAACATATCCGAATGCCAGACGGTGAGCCATAAAGTGCGCGACTCCAAGCTAGAGATCGGCATGTGGAAACGTAATATTTCATCGAAAATCGGATTCAGTGTGTGCTTCTTGACTTTGGTTTTACGTTTGCCAGCCTTCGATTTGTCGGGCAGCAGATATACCTGTGTGGTTTATTAGAGAATATTGTATTTAGTGCAAATTTTTCCGAATATTATTCATAAGTTAGCTCACCTTCACATATGGATCACTGCGATTACGCTTCACATCGACGGCAGCGAGATCTTTGCAGCGCACCACATGTATCTCCAGCGCGCCCAGTTTATAGTTGTATTGCATGCCGAACTCAACTTGACCTTTGACAACCACTGTGCCATAGCGTCCCTCGCCGGCGCCAGAGTAAACGCTGGCCATGGAATCCGAGCGTAGCTAATAGGTGAAAAGGAAGGCAAAGCAAATGAAATTAGTTAGTGAAAAAAAAACACAAATTAATATGTACATATGTATATATTAAAATATATATATATATATATATATAAGTACATAAGGTAAATAATAATAAAGTAATTTTTCTGGTATATAATTGTTAATTTATTTTTATAAACAAAAACATTTTTTTTATTAAATTTAAATAATTTTTTATATATATTTTTTTATATTTACTATTCAACAAAATTTATTCAACCAATTATTAAAAAAAATCACAGCTGTTTTCCGCGTGCTTAAGTCAATAAATACATATGTATGAAAGCAGCATTCTCGTTCAATGCCTTTACATAGTTCTTTGTTTTCGTTTATACTCATATATTCGCATACTCGTATATAGTGTATGTATGCATATATACATATATATATGTATATATATGTATGCACATTTGCTCTCCTAAGTGAATAATCAAGGCGAATTCAGTAGCATGCAGCTGCATCTGTAATTTATGAGTTTGTACTAATTTTCTCATTCGTCACAACAATGCTTCGGCTTTTGTGAACGTTCGCTTTTTTAAATGCAATGGGAAAATTCTTCTTATCTTCACGCTATGCATTCTTAAATATGTACTAATCGTCTATTAGTCAAACATGAAAGCAGTGCAGTGCTGCTCTTGAAAAACGATTAAGGTATGATTAAACACGAAAGTGCTGCAAGCTACGGGTGTTACGCACGACTTATGTATACCCATCACAAAAGCAAAGAAAATTACTATACCTAAGAGTAGGTCGTATTTCATTTTAAGAGTAAAAATATTCAAAAATAAAACAAAATTTGAAATTCAGTTACACCAAAGCTAGAATTAGAATATTTTTCACAAATATATACAAATATTTTTTATACAAGAACTTAATTTTTTTCGGTCAGAAAATCAAAAATTTGTGATAGGCTCAAAGCGCTTTGTGGACTTGTAAGGGCCTTATAATCTATTATATAGGAGTTTTAGGTAACACAACAGATCGGCGTACTAAGTAACCAAATTAGATCCCTGTCATGGTCGACCTCTTAACCTAACCTAACTGCATAACTGAATTCTCACTTCCGAATTCCCGAACAATATTTGTAGCTATATGTTATGTGATAGGGACCGAAATTTGCAACCACTTCGGGTTGCCAAGGAACACGTGAACACAAACCTTCATTTCTTAACTTTTACGAAAGTAAAGATGAGTACTTTGACCGGCAGATTTTGCAAATTATCTCGCCCCATTTAAGATGTTGATATATAATATACATTTATAATCATACAGCACTATTGTTTATATACGGTGTATAAATAACCTATAGATAAACCAAGCCTTACATAAAAAAATAGTTTATAAATGAAGAATCTATATAAAAGTTATGGATTATATATTATAAAAAAAATAACAAAATTTCTACTTACACCCAATGAACTGAGGCTATCGCGATTTTGATGCATCGCCACCAAACGATCGATATCCTCATCCGATTGCGTTGGCCATGTTTCGCTTGTGCCGCTGCCACGTGACTGTATCGGACTCGCTGTGGACTCATTGCGTTTGCCAATAACTGGCGATTGGTTGGATTCCTCGGCGGCTGCTTTGGCCTCCTCTGCAAGTGAACGAAAAAAGACAAAGCCAAATCAGTAAACAATTTAATTAGTCGTAAATGCCAATGTAAGCATTTACATACATACGTATGTACACACAAGTACATGCGAGTATTTGTATAGTTAGTTAGTAATGAGTAAAAATAGTTGTAATTGCAGCAAAGCAGTTAACGCGTAATGAACATACACTAACATATTATTTATGGAGTTCGAATGTGGAAAAAAAAACGCTGCTATTGTGCATGCAATCAAGCCTATATACATACTTGTATATATAAATTTAGAAATGTATATATTGGGTATGTGCACCCAAGTAGCATTGATAAACGGCCGCACTCCCAAATGTCTTGACTCGCGCTCCTATGGCGACGATTGTGCAAGAGCAGCAAATATTTAAAGAGGCAAAAAAAAAAAAAGAAACGTGTCTTACAGCCGGTTTTCTATTGTACATACATATATACATACACACGAGTATACCATATGTATGTACTGTTATAAACACTTTTCGTTTCGAGCTTTCGATTTGCACAAACTTGACTTATCTTTTTGTTGTATGCATTACAATAACAAATGAAGCACGCTTTATTCGAGTCCCCAGCAATGGTTAAGTAATTAAATTTAAGTGAATGTGACACGAGACACGCTTTCGGATATATCGATTATGGCTGGTCAGCGCATAGTGACCATTTCTTACGACTGAACAGGGTAAGAGTAAGCCAATGTATTTATTATGCAGTGTGTACGTTTCTATATTAACATGCAAATGGATGAATAAAAAATTAATATACCATATATGGTGTTTATGGATTGAGAGATAATAGGCCGAGTTTTTCCACAAAATTATTGATCAGTGTCTCGTTGGTATACTTTTCATATTATCGACTATGAATTTAAAATTTCTGATGGCTGATTGATTGCTTAGAGAAAGCTGTTTACTATACCAATATGTATAATATGCAATTTAAATATAAAACAAAAAAAATAATATTGTACGTTCGTAAGGTTAAAATACTCTTCAAAAAATTTGTTTCCATAAGAAGAGATTGATTTCTTTCGTTCAGTTTGTATGGCAGCTATATGCTATAGTGATCCGATCTAAAAAATTTCTTGAAATATTGTAGCGTTATCTTAAACAATAATCTGTGCCAAATTTTGAGAAGATAACTCGCCAAAATAAAAAAAGTTTTCCAAACGAGAATTTTATTTTGATCATTCAGTTTGTATGACAGCTGAATGCTAAGAAGAAAAAAGAAGTTATCATGATAGCTGACAACTAAAACATATGAAAAGGGCCATATTTTTCATGATTTTTTGGGTAGGTGAAAACTCAGGGCAAAGTGGGTGCCACACGAGCTCAAAAGCGACAGAAAATAAGAACGAACTGATGGTTCCAAATCTGCACTTTTCCGTCAAAATATGAAAATAAATAAATTCATTAATTCTTATTTCATTATAGAATTCATTCAGAATGGACCCCAAGCGCCAGCTGCTGTTCCCAGACCAGAGGATGAACTGGTAGTGTCATTGTAGTAAATAAGCATATAATAGTATGATATATATAAGTATATAAGCTACGTATTTGTAAAACCATAAAGAAATTTATGTGTATGTAAACAATTAATTCGGCAAATCACAAAAAGTCACTCTATTTAGCGTTCTATATACAATTTTGTTTATATATGTACTTCTCGAAGTAGTATTCCACTTGTTAGTAGGGAAAACTCATATTGCCGTCAGAACAAAAAATAATCATAATAACAACACGCCTTAAAATCACGAGTTCATTAACTTGATAAGAGCGATAAGATATCTGAAAATAGTTAGTTTTTTCCATCTGTTGGAGTAGTTGCAGGTCAAGGCAAACAAATTCCCCGAGCAAACACTAAACATATTAACATTATTAATCTCAGACACATATATATATACTAACAAGTTTTTTATTAAAATTTATATATTCTTGCAGTGAATACAATAAACAGCAATGACTTTGCATAAGCACCTGTAATTATATCTATAAATAACTACCAGTATGTATGTGAATAGTTTGAATGTGTGGCATATTGATAGTCATAAAATTATATACTTTATAGATAGTTTATAACAAGAACTTGCTTCGATGAGGTCTTGCATAGATAAAGCAATCATTTGTTAGAGTAACAGGGTGCATATGTATTTTATATGTGTGTATATATATTTAAAATTTACTTTGAGGAAAATGGTATTTTGTTCTTTAATATAAATATATAAATTTATGATATGAAATGTGATTTCATAGCAATAGTTGTTATAGTTTAAAGCATTCAATTCAAGAATAAAATATTTGAAATTCAAATGTCTCAACTTTGATTTCTGAAATATGGCTCCGCTTTCGATTAACACACAGTTTCAAAGTATATCTCTATAAAATATTCATTTTAATTGCCAGTTTTGAGATAATCAACCTATAATACTAGGGTCTTAGGTGTTTGATAAAATCATGTCACCTCTAAGTGGCGTTAGTTCTTATACCTGTATTGTATAATAAGTTCTATATAGCAAAGCAGGTAAAGATTTATATCACCATAGAACTCATCAGTAACATAAGATACACCTACACGAAAGTTGGTAATAAATATGTAACAGTAAACAAATTCTCCAAGTGATTTGTACTAAGTGGATAATTTGATAAAATCTGCTTTTAGGACGATTAGAGAACTGCTTCTCACTAAACAACGACAATCAATATACAAGAAAAAACGTTAACTTCGACTACTCCGAAGCTATAATATCCTTCACCGGTGCATTTTTTATAGCATAAAAGAGTAGAAAAAGATATTGATTTTCATTTCGGTTGGTCAGTTTATACGAACATATGCAGTATGTCAGCTATATGCTATAGAATTCCGATCTGAAAAATTTCTTCGGCAATTCTTGCCACGCCTTGGGTAAAATTTCGTGAAGATATCTTATGCTGATTCTTTCACTTTTCAGTATATAAATCAATAACCAATCGATGTGTCCAGATAAAACTTTACACTCAAAATTTGTCTAAATCGAAATATAACTGTTTAAGAATTCAGACGCCAAATGTGTGTACTCCAGTGCGTGTGGCTAACTTTTTGCCGAAAATATCGGTCAATAATTGAAATTCGGGGAAAATGTTTCTTTGATAGTAATATACACTTGTGTTCAAAATGGGTTGAATCGGTGTTGATCCGATTCCCTTAGCCTCGATATACCTAATATAAAGATTTTCGAATATCCAGTTGACTTTATACCACATATATCGGCAAATGTGCCTGTTATTTTAATGACATTGAGAGAGCGTGTTTTTTTCAATAACAGTGTAGCTTTGTGCCTCAAAAGAATAAAATCGGACGAAAACTTGCCTTAGCCCCCATATAACTGATATTCAGAATTTTGAAGCGTCCGGCTGATTTTACTCACTGTTTATATTTAAATATTTATAAAATTGCTTGAAAATGAGTTTCTTCCTTACTCTTTATTTTTTCATAAAAGCCTCACCGACAAGCTGTAAGCTTGAATTTTCTACCCCTCGTCGAATCTACAATTTTCGTCCTTTTCATTACCTTAAATAGCGCTATGAAGCGCACTAGAGCGTTTAGGTTAATAGCAGATTTGAATTTTATAGAGAATTGTAAAAAAATTACATTTCTTATTCCTACCAATAATACCTAAATAATAGCAACGTCAAATTTGACATCTTCATTAAGTGCATCCAATAAATTTATGTTTAAGAAGCATCAATTTTGGAGCCACATGGATGCTTGATTGTTACGCCAAAAGTTACGAACGGAAATTTACGATATTAGCACAACATAAATTCTAAAAGTGCTATGCTTTGTGCTAGAATGGGTGCCAAACTGCTGGATGGTGTTGGTGGACCTCGAGAGAGGTGTTGGGTCAAGAATTTCAGGGACGGGTAAGTAATTTGCAGCTACTCATGTTTTTATAGACTAAACGAAAACCATAAATATGATATAATTTGTGCTGCTTAAAATAGTCATAAAATATTTATGAGTTTACGAAAATATTTATATTATGAGCATACACTTAAATTTGTGCTTGAAGAATTTAATTTCGGTGCGCTCTACTTGCTAAACATTCCACTTGCTGCTAAGCTATGAGTACAGTGAATTGCGTGCGGTCTACCGTCGTACCCATGTGTGTGGTGGGTATACCTTCTCGCTTGTGCACCTCAGCTGTTGGCGCGAGTAAAGGTGGCCTGCGCGCCATGAAACTGCAAACATGCGGCGCATTCAATTCGTCCTCCTCGAGCGTCTCGAGGAAGCGATCTGAATTGGAGCGCAAACTATCATCCCATGTCCAAGCGCGTGGCTTTAACTTCAACAAACCACAATTGCTGCTGCGGCGCCGATAGACAAATGCAGTTGGCGGCGTTTGCGGCGTCACATTACACGCGCCAACTACTGGCGCACTGCCGAGTTCGATAACCCTTTCGGTAGTTTTCATGAGAGAGTGCGCTTGTTTAGTAGTTGCGAGCGCTTTCGTTGGCATACTTTGTAATTGTGTGGTTGCTATGGTTGGTGTTGGGTCAGCGGCGACTGTTGGAAACGCGACCATATCTCTCTGCTGCATTTCATAAATGTATGCAGCGAATTTGCCATCGATGTCATCATCTTCCTCCGAGTCATATGGATAACTACCTATGCGTCTGTCGCAACAGCAGCAGGGTAAACAGCACCAGCGCCAGCATTTGGCAGCACCTACGCGCTTACGCCAACCATCGCGGCAGGAACAATACCTATGCCGCTTTTGTATTTTTGTTGGCTCATTCCAGTAATCTTTGTATCGGTTGTGCGGTTGAGTGGCGCGTTTCCTGCGCGCAAATGCATATCGGCTGTAGCACAGCAAGCGGCGCCACCAGCGTTTTCTGCTATAACTGCGGCGCTTTTGTAGTGGTTGTTTCGACGCTGTTGAAGCGGTGGCTGTGGGCGTTGCAGTATCACGTGTGATAATGCTGCCGCAACTACTGTTACTA